AGCTGTAATACGGATATTTGTAAAGAAATGTTGTGGGAAATGTGTACAGGAATGAGTGGGGAAAAGTGAACCACGTGAAAAGACGGAAATTTGATCGTGAATTCCTACAGAAATTTGTGAGTGTGAACATTGTTGAATCGAAATGTTTATGGAAATTGGTATATATATATATATATTGGTATATAAATGATGATGATAACATAGATAAAACATAATGAAATTAACCCTAAAATAGCGATCAGTGTTACCGGACATGAACTAGACACGAAAACGAGCTTCAAAATTTACAATAGGATAAGAAGTCTGCCTGTGTTGGTTAGTCTACCATTATATCTACCTAATTAAATATTCCAACAATCTATAAGAAAAAGACATTACTCCTCACTCAATGAGTTTGGAAACCAATTTTAAAGAGTTATAAAGTTTAATTTCGTAACTTCGACGTGTTTCCGGACACTCTGTGTAGTGCAACATTGGAAGCATCAAGGACCAGTGTCTAGTGTAAGGTAACGGTTGTTGAGGTTGCTCCTAACCATAATGGTCGACACTGTGGCAAAGCAGTTCCTGTCGAGGTCATAGAGTTTCATTCTATTCTGTAACTGAAATCTGTGCTTTTCCATGGCACTTGAGAGAGGTTCAATTTGAAACAGCCGAGTATTATTATTCTTTTGACAAACACAGATTTTGAATACTTTAAGTAAACTTTTGTTGTTATTGTGAATTTTGGTAACTAAAATGATGTATTTGAGGGTGTGGAGGCTGAACCGATTTTTGACCGTTCGATGAAGCTAAGTGGAGGCTGAACCGATTTTTAACCGTTCGATGAAGCTAACTAAATAATATTCTTTTTCAGTTCAAATTTTCCGAAATAAAACTTTTTCTTTGGATATAATATTAGATAAATGAGGTACGTCCATAGTTTGAACCATATAGTTAGTTAAAATATAGTTTTTTTATTAAATACTGAGGTTATAGTGCAACTTTTAAGATGGTAAAATAGCAAACATTTATTGAAAGTCACATAGAAAACATCAACCCTCATTCTACATTTCCTTAACATCAATATTATCATTATATTTACAATAATCACTTCAAAGCGTTATGGGAGTTGTTTTAAAACTTAAGATAATAATCTACACTCGTTTATTCTAAATTGTGTTCAAATTTTCGATAAGCCTTTTGATCTCTGTATTATAAAATTATATCGTTTTATTTTTTATATTTTTAATTAAAACCAAAACTTCACATTTAGTCTTACATAGATAGTTCAGAAACATTTCACTAACGTGAAAAATAGGTAACCATAAAGAATGATAGGTGAGACCCAGCAAGTAGGTCATCGATATTTTGTCAGACATGTCGTCCCTGGTGGTTTTAATCATACTGTATCATATTTGTTTCCAATCAACAGTGAGATGAGTTACATTAACAAACTACTATTACAAATTTAACTCATTTGAGATATCCTAACCCCTACGGAATATCAAAATTTTATCTCAGTATTTGTCATTTTTACAAAACCAAACTGTTGATTCGATCGTCTCAAAAATATTGTACATTTAATGTATGCCAAATATGTTTGTATCTTACTACCTGATTTAAAAAATGCTATACTTCTGCATGTGGCATTTCCAAGATTAATAAGTACAACCATAGTACTAACCAAAATAATAACTACAGTGTTTTAATTTCCCTAGCTTACATCTTTCCACACTTGTTATTTACATAAGCACTTGAAATTTATGAAATAAACCAAAGAATAAACATTCTTTACCTTAGTGACACGTTTATTTATTTAATTTAGGTTTATTAGATCCATTACAATTGATATAATAATATTGAATATCCTGATGAAATGATACGTAAAATAATCATTTGGATGGTAGGCTTACTACAAATTTAAGTAAATAAAGGTTTTAAAAAAATGGGTTGGTTTATGTGTTTTCGTAGTCATGAACAAGGACCTTATTTGTTACGTTGAACACTTCTTCTACACTTATTTACCTTTTCCATCCAAAAATACGCAACCTTGATAAGCCGAAATGTAAAATAATAAAATTTACCTTTTCAAACAAACTATACAATAAAACTCTTAAATCAAATTTCTATCAAGGTCATCAAATAATGTTAAAAACTCGAATATCAAGTTTTCAGCAATAATATCTAATTGAAAGACGGTGAAATAAAATTCCTCGATCAGCGGAATCTTAGTTTATCCAATCTCATTGAAAATAAACAGTATTCTCCCTTCAGCAGTGAGTTCAAACAATTTTAACTGATTTAATACTTAGTTCTTCGATGTGATTTTTTTCTTTAACAAGCAGTTGTACCTATTATCTAGACTTTTTATTCTTTCAATAGATTTTTAACTACTACAGTATTTGGGTTTCTAAAACATTCGGTTATTTCAAAATACGTTTTCAATGTTATTAGGTAGGTCCTTGATAATCCCAGAGTTTATCAATACATTAAAGTTAATCTGTAAACAAACAAGGAACATTTTGTGGTTTATTTAAGTTTGTAAACATCGAAAAACACAGGTAAGGCTTTGAATAGACACATTGTAGTTGTGAAAACACTCACTTTTATAAGCAAATCAGACGCATGCTCACACGTCGATGCATACTAAGACATAGATATATGTATATTTGTAAAAAAAAAAAAAAAAAAAAAAAAAAAAACAATAAATACTAGTAGGCCTTCGGGTTTGAATTTCAGTGGTATATGATCCTCTTTTAGTCAATATTAATCATTTCTGGTCACATTATGTCGATATGGCTACAGTCGTTTAGGTGAATCTTAATTGCATTTTAGCTTTTACTTACAGTTTAAACCCACAGAACTCTTATCCGTACAAGACATTTTGGATTATTTTATGTTAAAAAACTTACTCAGCTTCCTTTGTTTAAAGTTCATTGTTGCTGATGGTGAGTTAATGTTGTTCAAAGGTTTATTGCGGACATTTTCCATCACGTACCATCGTGAAAACAATACACAACTTTTCGAGATATGGAATCTGATCCCATCCTCAGGTGAAAAAACTTAAGTAACACATCAAAATTAAAAATACTCAAACGCCCAGCCTAAGTTGGAATACACTACAGAGAGTAGCAGTCAATAAATATGCACTGTTTTTTTTTCCACCTGAGGACGGGATCAGATTCTAGATCCCGAAACGTGTATTGTTTTTTACCATCGTGTTGGGAAATGTCCGCAATACCTTTGAACAACATTGAACCTGCTTTTTAATAACCTAACGCTAACTGATATAGGTTTAAATTACCTGTTTTCCGTCAAAACGATCAGTTTAGTAGTATGATGACTACAGCTGTTTCGTGCTTAAAAAATAGCACATCTTCAGGTCCAGAATGTCTTGCTAATCCCTCATGTAGAGTTCGTCAAAAATATAAACAAATAAATAAACGGGACACACATACGGATACGACACACACGAAAATACATTTATTATAAACTGGTCGACCAGACGCTGATTCACGAGACACGGCGCCGGTGGAAGGTAAGTCGCGACTTACCTTCCACCGGCGCCGTGTCTCGTGAATCAGCGTCTGGTCGACCAGTTTATAATAAATGTATTTTCGTGTGTGTCGTATCCGTATGTGTGTCCCGTTTATTTATTTGTTTATATTTTTGACGAACTCTACATGAGGGATTAGCAAGACATTCTGGACCTGAAGATGTGCTATTTTTTAAGCACGAAACAGCTGTAGTCATCATACTACTAAACTGATCGTTTTGACGGAAAACAGGTAATTTAAACCTATATTAGTTTATTCAGACGATCTAGAGGCCATTCCATCTTGTAACGCTAACTGGCATAACTTGATGGTAACCGAAGATCCAGGTACAAAACTACCAATCTTCTTGTATGGTGGAAACTTTTTGCACCTCATTTGACGGATGTTTTCCTATAGAAATATCAGCTGTTGTCAACAATTAGTTGGTAACGTCACGTCTTGGGCAACAATAATCACTAATGGCTGTTTTCCCTTCCCAGACAGTTCCTGGAACCAACGTTTGTTTGGCAAGACCGTTTGAATGTTTAGCTTATCATGTTTTTGACCTGTTCCCAAAGTATTAATTTACTGAACTTGAACAATAACTCAAAGAATGCTGTTTAAGATTTTTACTGATTGAATAGTAACAAATTAGAATATCAGTCGTCGTAGTGTAAGTGTAGGATACTTCTTTGTTGAAACTTACAAAAATTGGTTATTTAAACTTAACGAAAGCCCCCTCAAACTACGATCCTTTTGAGCTACAAAAATAAATTTTTGATTAAGAGCCAAGTTTGTGAATTAACTAGTTAGCGTACATCCATCTTCCAAGTAATTATTTCTCAATCATGGATTTTTTATTATAAGTATCGTTTTATTGCTATAACCTTGAACAAATTATATACCTAGGCTATCTAATTATTTTGGCTGAGTATCCAATTACGGTAAAATATTCTAAACGTTCTGAACGGTATTAAGCACAAGTGTAAAAAAATAAACAATACACACATGTTTCAAAAGGCTCTGTTATCTGAAAAGTAAATATCAACAATGAAATCAGCTGATTGTTATAAAACAATCGCTGTTTTAAGGTGGTAACAACAAATTAAACATCTATTATATTGCGTCAATATGTTATGTATTACGAAATACGATAGAGAGAAAACCCTCGCGTATGTAGTAACCTTACTTCTGTTCAATATTCAAAGTAATAAATTATCTTGCTGTTTAATCTCTTAGGTCAAGATCATTATGAAATACTAGTTAGCCGTTTATAATGAAGTTTCCACGTGAAAAAGGCAACTGATAACATAAAATATTACCGATTTTTTATACTACATTCATGTGAAGAATCAAAAGAACAATTCGTTGAAGCTTTTATTATCACTATGGTCATATTACTCATAACAATAATGATTCCCAAAAGTAAACAACTTGATTATTTTTAGCTTTATACTAACTTATATAATTGAAATGTTCACTTACCACAGCCAATGATTATTCCAAGTATCCATAATGTAATCCAATGGAACTTCATGATGGCTTTCACTCAGAACACTTAGACAAAAGGCTTTCTAGGTCGAAAACTTGACACATGTCAACAAGTGAAGTCTCCACCGTTGAAGTCTCTTTCATGAGTATTTTAGAGATAGACAATCACCAACACAAATATTTTCACCCGTGGCGCAACAGTTCACTGACACTGGATTCACGTTACCATTTTCGCATTGCGGTATTCCACACCAACGGAATCATACGGTCACGAACACACTCAAACAGACACTAGCACAGAAGAGGCGGATCACTAAACTCGTCCGCGTCGTCTGTAGACAGTGACGGCCATCTTGCCGTGCTGGCTCCAAGGAGAAAGCCACTCTACACGTTGTGCAACGGTGGTATTGTAAGTAGGAGGCCAAGGGATCCGGGTCGCTCCACAACGTGTAGCGCAGCCTAAGTGAAAGGAGCGAGAAGCGACGGGGTTTCCCTCACCACTACACTCACACTTCCTTACCTGTGTGGATATCCCACGTCGTTTTGTAAAAATCCCCACTTATCCCACAGTTAAAAGTCCTACTCTTTCAGTTCTACTCTTTATTATTCGAGAAATATCGTTAGAATATTTAGTTTACAACAATTCTTTTATGAACTCTTATTTTAAACATTACTTATTTTACATTTGCAGACCTTTACAATATATCAGGATGTATTTCGTTTAGTTTCGTGTCTTAAACATAAATATCACAATCCCTTTTTATCCCTCAAGGCCCGAAAAATCCCATTTTAGGGAAAGAATCCCTATCTTATACGCTGTTTCTGCCGTCATCGTCACGCATTAGAGGTCAACGCCATGGTCTAATTATCCCCGCATGACGATTTAACGCTGTGCTACCTTGTTTTCACTCCACATTACCGTGACAGATTGTGTTAAGGACCGACTGTTATCCTTAGGTCAAATCAGAGTCTTGGGTATTCAGTGTATGTTGTGGGTCTAAGGTCTACCAGAGCTTCTTGGTCAACAAAATAATCGGTTCGATAATAGGATCCAGCCCTTGACTGAAATCAATGAATGGAAAATCATGTTACTTCTTTTTATTTAGCTACAATACATTTTTAAAATGCGTAATTTTTCTAGTCTTTTTTATTTTGAAACATTATAATTTGAACTCTACACGTACCCGGCGTGTACTTGTTTAGGCGAAAAAGTGTATGAATACATTATATACTTTTGCATGAACATTATAAAATACTTTTTGATAATTAATATCAACTATAGATAAAGGATAGTTGTTGTTTAATTGACAAAAATATTATGTTTTGCAAGACGTTTTATATAAAATAGTGTACATTAAAAACGTAACGTGTAACAGACAATGCATTCTAAAGCGTAAGAATAAGTGGTTAGCAGCATGAAAACTATGATGTAAAGCTGTTAAAATATAAAACTTCTCTACATATATATTGAAAGTCACAAAATATTTTAGGATTATTACTGATTATTCACTTGACACAAAATGTACCACATTGAATATTCACACTTGGATGCCCCACTACACACATTATATACACAGTTATCCTATAATGAGGTGGAATTGATCAATACCTTACCGTTAATTTTGTTGCATAATTAATTAGTTTCTCTGTTTTCAAATATTAATTCAGTGTTTAAATGCTCCTTATTGTGTTAACAGAAGTGACCGATCTTGATCCACGGATATAGCTTACTAAAAAAACTCTAAGCATGCAAACATTTTGTGTTTATGCAGTCTTTCCCCAAAAACTAAACCTGTTTATTTCATTTGATTCAATCAATTCTGAATCACCATTTTAAACAAAGCTTAACATAGTAATAAGTGTAATTTATGCGTTACGTAAACATTCAAACCGTACCCAATGGCCTATGTCACTTAGCCTACCTAATTCTTCTAAACTAGATGTAGGTAACATTATAAACTTTTAAATTCAATAAATAATGTATTTTTTATTTTCGTTTTATTATAACTACCAGTTTTCCTTCTTAGAACCAATAAATTTAAATTAGATACTGAACATTGTTTATCTTAAGCTACTACTCTTACACATTTGCATGTTAATTGGGTTTCTAAAAGTTATCGTAAGTTATGCATAGCCTAAAGTATAAAGTACACACAAATATTTAAAGTAAGTTAATAGCAGTTTACGCAATGATCGAATAAATATGATGTTAATGACACGAAATTTATAATACGAGCCTTGGTGAATGCCTTAAAAACGTCTACGAGAGTCATTAAGACTATTTACGCGACTTGCGGACACTACTTTACCTACGACATTTTTTAAAATTAACCATCACTTCTCTTTACTTTTAAGAGAGGTTATTTTTTCGTTTATAACCACTCATTACCACTGACAGTGAGGCAACGAATCTTTGAAACAACCACTAATTGCACCACTGATTAACAATTAAATTGGTCTTAACAGCTGATTAGTTGAAGTTTGAAGCGTTACAATTTTACTTATTTTCTCTCAGTTCCTGAGGCACATTGGTCCGTTACTCGTGTTTTTAAGTAAAAAAATGATGTTAAGTAAGTAAACATAGCTTTTAAGGGGAGCTTTTCAATTCTAAGAACTGAATTGAAACGACTAGTTTAAAAAAATAACGGTTGTAGGTAATAGTATATTACCTTACTATTCCTGAAAATAGGTTTTTACCTGGACGAGTGTGGTCGTTCCCGTGGAGAACGAAGTCGAGTGCGGGATTACCTACGAGTCCGTGAAACACATTTGAAACAAGTAACGTACGATATTTTACGTCATACCTAAACTAACTTAACAATAAAAAATATGTACAAATCGTAATGTATTCCCACCTACCAAACGACTAACAATCACTACTCACAACTAGAGGTTATGATTTTGTTTGTAACCACTCATTGCCAAATATAATATAATCAGCTGGTTGGTGTCCGGTAAAACTCATTACAGTACCGTAGTACGTAATGCAACCCCATTTGATTAAGCTGACGGAAAACAGCCGTTTTCTGGACTAAATCATTGCGTGGGAAGTTCGTCAAAACAGTGTAGTGTGGAGTAAAATCTTTTAAACAATTGACGTTTTGAACAATTAGCGTTAATGCCTTTTGAACGAGGTTTATGATAAGTGTAGTAACAAATAGACTATCCAATATTTCTTTGTGTTTAGACCACTAATTAGTCCCTATACACGATCACACTTGCCTTATAATGTATCATGTTTACTATGTCAGTTTTGGCTAACCCCTAATGAATAGGGTTTAATAATTGCAATATGATGTACTGAATGAAAAAATGTTAGTGTCCAGAGTATGAGTAATTTTACGATATATGATTTTTCGACGATATAATGATATCGTTTTACAAATTAAATTGTATAATCAATATATGCAATTTTTTTGGTCATATGATTAGGTTATGGTGCTGTCAGTATTTTACACAGTTTTTGTTAATAGAAACATTTTATTTAAACCTGTTGGACGAAAGGCCAATCATCCATTTATCCAATTAAAGTCCTGTCATATTTTTAAAGGGCAGAATATAGTTTAACTAACCCATTCAATTGCAAATCGCGCCTGAATGTCTTACCTTGATTTAGAATATTCCACTGAATCAAAACTCTTATAACCACCTTATACATCTGTGTTATAGCGACATCACATGACAATAACTTTTTTTAAAACTTAAGCACCAATTGTTTTAAATTAAAAAAATAATTAGTTAAAATCACTATAAACATTAAATGTTAGGATAAAATGGTTGTGATGCTTAGTTATGTTAACTGTAGGAATGCCATTTTCAAGAGGGAAGTCCTCAGATACAGGAAATGTTGTCCCCATAAAGACCTATATTTATTAAGAAATTCAAGTTTGGTAAGATTGTTATCAGTACAATTAGCTGTATTGTTACAAAAGTTAATATTACTTTTTATACATAAAAATACTCCCATTTCCAAACTTTTATATTCGTAAATTAGGATATATTTCCCTCACCAATGAGGTTCTATTGACTGTTCAGTAAGTGAATGTAATTAAAATAGTTGTCAAAACTATTTTTAAAATATATATATTCGAATTGATATAAACAATTATATTTGCACGTATAAGTTTGTAAGCAAGTTTATGGCTATTCCCAATGTCATTTTCTTGTCAAATATGAAACACTAATATTGGTTTTTAAAATTCCTTACAGAACTATAAACTATTTATAGCTCTTACGTAATAATTGAAATACGAAAACATAAAATTTCCAATTCATAGTTATAGTAGTTGGGATTTGTTTTGACCTTTCTGACACATTACAACGCCGTTGCGGCTTGTTGCAAAGTATAAAAACTCCCATATAACGCAATTTACTTTGAGCCTGCGTGTATCTGCGGCTTGTAGGTACACCGTCGGGCATTATAAACGCCGTCTTTTAACGACGTCTGGCGGTCACCGCATTGTATAAAAGCTCTCTCTCAAGGCACTTAGCAAAGGTTGCCACAGGGGGTGGCCATCGATGTATGTGGCACGCTGCGGAGTATAACAGGAGTTCAGTATATATAGGTTTTTCCCCTACGACGCTAGGCATGAGCCCGGAATTGTTTTCACATTACTTCAGGCTAGACCTAGGGGCTACGGCATTATCATTTTTATAAAATAAATTGGTTATTTGGCAGTATTTGAACCCAGGACCTCTTGGATCGAACTGTATAGCTATAGTAAGAGTGAGTAGGAGTACCAGATACCCATTAAGGCTTTCTGCTACGAGATTGAAATGTCACACTTAAGTTATATTCATATTTGTGTTCTATTCAGTTTAAAATCGCCTATTTTTTGTACAAATATCATACATTATATACATTATAATATATATATATAATATATATACATTATAATATCATTGTGCATTAGTTTGTGTAAATTGGTAAATGTGTAAGCATATCAAATACTCGCATTATCCTTTGATGTCTGAGCTATTCGTCACATCGGCATTCTACAAACGGACGACTTAATCAGTTATTGACATAAGCAAGCATTGTTTGTGTCAGTCGAAGAAAGCAAACATAATCTGTTTGTGTTTGTATGAAAATCCTGTGTGGGTTTGATCCTTGAGCTGAACAGTGGATGGAAACGAGTTTGATGTTATATATTATCAAAAGGCATTTAAATTAAGGCATATTGACATTTAAAATCCTACGTCATAACGATTCTTCCCAGCTATTTACGTGGTAAATCTTTACAAAGTAGATATGATATGAGAGTTGTTGTTTTTTTTTTTTACAATCCATCGTTAGAAAAATACGAAATTAATTTTGTCAGAAAAACAAATAAAACATTACCTTGTATAGTGAGTTGGTTAAACAAACGTATCGATGTATACATAACAACTAGAACTTAAGTTAACTTAAGTTTCATTTACACTTTGTATTGTAGATTTCAATTAACAGGTAGTACAATCAGTGTGTAATTGCTGATACAGTGCTAAG